TTCTCTCTTCCCCAGTACCACTGCGACCCGTTCTGTGTGTTCTCAGAGGCGATCTGTATAACCTGGGAACTGTTTTCTGCATGGCCAAACTGGCTGAGGAGGTTAGTCCTGAGAAGTTGTTTAAATGTACTCTTGGAAAATAAAGATCACAAATGAGTCCTTCTTCTTAAGTTTGTCTTAAATGAGACAGTAGATCTTTTGTATTTGGTTTTTCGGTAGTTTTTCTGGGGAGGGGGTTTTGTTCTTGTTGCTTCTCAGGATGTGTGATTCTGGCTGATGGGTGGGAGGCTGCTGCTTGTCTGCTGCCTGTGGCAGTGTCCCCGGCTCAGGAGTTGTCCAAGCTCTTCTGGTGGCCTCTTGGAGCTCTCCTGAGCTATCTGGAATACAACAGTAGTTCTTTTTGTGCAAACTCTGTCTGCTGCTAAAGGTCCTTGTGTGAGGTGGGTTCCAGGCTTAGATGGACTTTGGATCAGACCCTTCTCTTCATACCTGATCAATTATCAGCCGTCTTACTGACCCTCTACCTATTGTTTTCTTTGGAGGCATAATCCTCAGTCCATGCTTGGGTCCAGAGGTGTATATTGTAGTGGTGTCTGTGACAGCTCCTCTTTCTTGGTATTTACGTACAAGTTGGACTTGGCTGAAGGCTCTGTGCTGCTGTCCTGGGGGAGAGTCACCGCCTTGGTTCAGTCTCGGGTGTTTAAATCCTTCACAGGCATCAACCCCCATGTAAAGGGGGGAGGATCCAGAACTTTGCTATTTTGAAGCCTGAAAGGATGAATAGCTCACAAAGAGTTTGGTTTAGCTTTCCATCATCGTTTTATAAAGATAGATCATCCTCTAATGAACCTTATTATAATAAGCCTCATTAAAAAATCTCACATTCTCAGTAGTTTAAGGAATTAAGACGCAGCAGGGGTGCTGCCCGGGCTTGTACGGAGAGTCTTTAGCCGGGCCCAGCCTGCGGTGAGCACAGCAGGCCCCTGGGCGGGGGGACAGGGCAGGGGAAAGGTTCG